AGGACTAAGTACTACGATCGCACTCTCAAAGAACATCTAACACTAATCAACAACAACCATCGGTTGCCCTTGCTTTCTACGCTCTATTCTTCAATCACCCAGAATAAGATCAATATAGGACTCTATCAACTTGTAACGTACGCCTAGGCTATGGAATGGATATTTGGTTTCGTGAATTATTTGTCCCTTGGTTTTACAAAGTTCCATTTTCACACAACTCTTTTCGATCGATTCCCTTTTTTTCATTTCAACACATCTCAGTAGCCATTATTTTCTTTTTCTTTTTCTTTTCTTCTTTTTCTTTTCCTTTCTTTATGCTTCTTTTTTATTAATTTTTTTGTTTGTATATGTGTGTGTGTGTGTGTGTGTGTATATATATATATATATATAATATACTCAGCTCACTAGTTGAACCTTCTTTTTTAGCTCTTCTTTCTGCTTGGATTGCATTCACCCTCAACATTGGCTTTTGGCCTAAGTTGTGACATCGTATCTTCAGAGACCAAAGGATATGATATTTTCTGATAAAAACAAAAATTTGATTTTTAGGCTCAAATTGGGTTCACGTGATAAGCATTTATTTTGTTACTTTATTTTTGGCTTTTTAATAGCTTAAATAATGACCTACTAATCCTTTCCTATCCGATTATTTTCTTATTTAAGCAAGACTACTCGGTCAAGTTCTAGTTTCCGCTCCTAGTGTTAGACTTTGAACAACACTGGCGCACACACATGATACAGGATTGCATTCTCTTGTTTCTTGGTTCACCAATTTATTTATCACACTTGCAATGTTTAGCATGTAAGTATCTAAGATTTCATCTATAGATCCTAACATTAAAATTTTAGGTCAAGGTAATCATGTCACACAGATTAGTTGGTGCACAACTCAACAAGTTGTTGTACAGCTCAACACACCAATAAAACCCGAAAATAACCATTTTCACATTAAACACATAATCAACCTCCATTCATCCTAATAGCATGAATAGAAGGTTGTTAACCCCCCCCCCCCCGTCCCCCAACAAATATAAATTTCCCTCAAAGTCAATGAAAACAAAATAGGGCTATGACGAGGACGCTCTAGGCTTTGGTAGTCAAATCTATGTTGGCACCCTTATCAATAGGTTCACTCTTAGGCACCAGCGCAGGATCATGCCTGCTAGTGCCCACCAAGACAAAGACTATGCTACCTGAAGCTCCAACTAACACTACATCTCGATGTTTTTACTCAAGTGCTTCTTTTATCTTGCTTCTTTCCTTGATGCCCTGCGGGCTTTCTTGTGTTGCCTTTTTTCCTCTATGGACAGGTTAGCATGTGTCTCTTTATCATACTCTCCGTCTTTGTGTTTTCTTTTGACGGACTTACTCTTGGGTAGTTCACCCCAAAAATCGTCAAGTGATTGAGTGGAGGGTGCCTAACTGATCAGTTGCATCAAGGAATATGGAATGACTGGAGTGGGTACATGTACTGGATTTTCAGCCAGTTTAGCAATTTGAGCTCGCATTTCAGCCAATTGGGACTTGAACCTTCAGTATCAACTGAACCGACAACTTGGAATCACTCCAAGAAAAGGATCTCCAAACAATCCACCATGTCTTTTAGGACAGCTGATTTTGCATTTCATATTTTATCTCTTTCTTCGCAGCTTACAAATCTTGCTCTATCACCTGGGCATTCAGTTTACATTTTGATCGAATAGAGTCCTGGTAAGGTGCTGATCTGCAACTAATTTTTCAAGAAAAAACATAGGAATAGTGACATAGGTACTTCAATCCTGCGAGTCTGAAGCTGTTGGTTGTGGTGGTGCCTCTATAAAAGGTTGTGATGATTCTCCCTATTCTAGACCTCTATCCGCATGTGGGATGTCAATTGGTAAGTGAGGAACAACATCCAAAGTACCCACAACTCTAGACTTCGCATCGAATAGATGGTTCCTAACATCCTTGATTTTAGAAGCTTGGGTAAGTCTGCTACTTCACCCCATCTGTCAACCAGCTTGTTTGGGGGGATGTTAGCTTGTTGACATTGTTTCACTATCAAACAAGAAAATGGAAGTTTGTCTCTCTCATTCAGTTACTTGTCTCTCATCTAGGTAGCTATAATTTTCCCCATATTTTATTGTGTACCTAACCATGAGGCACTCTACCAAAGAAGCCAACGAAGGAGACAATGTGTTATTATTAGTTGTAGGTCTCAATTAAGCCCGGACACCAGGTCACCAAACCTTAGCTGTAAAAGATAATGAAGCTTTTGTAATGAGTGTTGGCAGTTTTGTGACCTAAACTGCATTCTCTTCATCTACAGTAGTTTGCTTCGCAATCCATCACAAGACCCTCTCTCGAGAATTCTTATCCCCCTCCCCCATCGTAGTATATCACTGGTAACCTCATGATATATCCTCTAAAAAAAGGCCAACTAAATTGGTGCAGTGTATTCTAAGCCATGTAACATCCTTTTGGTAATCTCCTTAGAGATATCTATTGATTTTCCCCAAACTATAATCGAATCGAGCGGACCCCAGTAATGCAAATATCTTTGTTACCATGTTTAGTTGTCTTTGTGTTTTCAGCAAAATTCATCAGTGTGGCTGCATAAGATGAATAAAACTCTCTGGTAAGGTGGCCAGAATATTTTCCAGGTTCATTGTTCATCTAGTCAAATTGATGAAACTAAAATGTTTGTTAAATGTTGGAGCCAAATTTGATAACAGCTACCACCACTCTGGTCTCATGCATGATCACTCTATTCTTGAAGCCACCACACTTGTTAACAATCCCATTATCAAAGAAATTCTCACATATTTCCACAATCCATATGGAATGGTAACAATCAATCAGTTGTTTTCTCGCTGCGAGATCGGGTTCATGGCTATTCACATAAAGCACCATGGTGTCATCGGTGGTGATCTCTTCTTCTTCCCTACATTACCTACATCTTCTTGTGCTCCAGTTTTAGCTGCTATATGTATTGTAGCATCATCTTGAGATCTGTCGTTGGAATCTATACTTCCTCCCAAACAATCCTTAGACTGGTTACATGAACCCCCATCGGATTCACTTCCTAATTATTTACTGCTACTGAAATAACTACCCCTTTTTCAGACTGTGGAGGAGTGTCCTAGAGAATTTCCTTCTTTGTCGGTACTCTAGTATCCCAAGGTGAGTGATCCTCAATAGTGGTATTTATTTTCACTTAGGAGCTACTATAGTAGGTATCATCATGACCATTAGATTGAGAGCTAGTAGGTGCAGAAGGTGGGTTTGCGTTCCTCTTCTTGGAGGATAGTACCTGAGAAACAAACCCTTCAATAGTACGTAAATCTGTAAAAATGATGCACTATTGGGTACTCAGACATCCCCTGTGTAGTTACATAGTGACTCCTTTCCTTTGAATGTCGTCACCTAATCTATCATTTGGAAGGGCCAAGGAATCAAAAGACGAAACAAAAATTAAAAAAATACAAAAGTTAAATTGTACAACATAAGTAATTTTTATGGGAGCTAACACGGGCCGTGGTAGGTACCACGGTTTATAAAATCCTTCGTGGATTTCTGACAGATTTAGTGTGCAATAGTGGCTTGACCAAGTTTTGTTCAAGGAAGGCTGCACGGTCTTGAAATGAAACATAGTCCGTAATATTCCCGTAAACATAACCAATGATGATATGAAATGCCCAAGTATGGTCCACGAGTGGTTTCACGGCTCGTAGTGGCTTCCACGATCTATGAAGCCTATCGTGGTCTTACACTTGAGCAATCAAGCAGTCATTGTTTCACCCAACTTCACCTATAGGATACGTAACTCCCATTTTTAATCACAGGTTCACAACATGACTACTAGCACCACTTAACTTCAACAGGCACAAGGCCAACAAGAACTATATGCATCCAATACACAAAATACCTTAATCTTTCCCACACAAGAATCATCAATTCTACACAACACATACAAATATCCATCAAACACCAGGCAACTGAATGTAATACTCATTCAGCCACACACATTCTCTCATATCAACACTGCTCTTCATGAATTCAACCACCTCACATCATATCACAACCAATTTAGAGAAAACTCATATAAACCCACAACAATTCATCAAACCCTCCTAAGTAGATATCATCAACGATCCATTCTCACACAATCATTATTAACTTTGATAAAATATAAGTAGTTCTAAATTTTTTTATATAAAATTAAACATATAACAAGTAATTTAGGAAATATACTTTAAATTAGATCATAATTTGGTTCGACTACACAGAGAAATAATGATCCACACTTTAATGCCTTAACACTAGAACTAGGGTTTTGAATTTTCTAAGAATCTAGAACTTATGAATGATGGAAACCTATATGATTGTGATAACCATTATTGAAGAGAGAATAGGAAGGAAAAAAACCCGACACTTTAGAACATAATATACGTTTTAATTTTAATTCTTCCTTCTGCGCGGGTCAGATCGCGTTACAGATATTCTGAAGCATGAAGGACAAACCATGAAAGTGCTTGTGTAGGCCACCACGGTCTGTACAGTGTTCCCTGGAACTGACTTGGGGATAAAGTAATTATATGTGGTTCACAAGAGTCTAGACGGTCTGTACAAGTATTGATGGACCATTAACCCTTCCGTGAACCTTTTTCTTGCTATTCCAGTAGCTCCCTTAGGTTGTTGCTAAGATTGACGGATTGTGAAGTTTTCCATGAAGGATACCATAGTCTGTGAAGCTGATCATGAAGAGTTGTCTTCACCCTAATTCATGCAATTTTAACCTCAGTCTCTGTTGCACACAGCAACACACACTGACTCTCTAAAAACAAAGAAAATGATAAAAAGGAAACTACCTATCACAATTAACATCTTGGGTTACCTCCCAAGCAGTTTAATTTAACGTCGCGGCACGACACATGTTACTTGATTACTCAAACTACATCAAGTTTACATTCCTCCACAAATTTTACATCTTCTAGAACATTTAAGTATGACTTGATTCGTTAACCATTGAATTTGAACCTCACACCCTTATCATTTTCAATCTCAATTGCACTCAAATGGAACACCTGAGTTACTTTAAAAGTCCCAGACCATATGGATCTCAGTTTCCCAAGAAACAAATGAAGTCTATAATTGTTAAGTAACACAAAGTCACCAGCAGTAAAGGTTCTCTTCTCAATATGTTTGTCATGGTATAACTTCATCCTCTGTTTGTAGAATATTAACCTCTCATATGCTCTCAACAGGAACTCAACCATCTCATTGATCTGATTAAGTCTAAGGATTGATGTTTCACTCCAACTAAGGTTCTTCAAAGCCCAGAGTGCTTTATGCTCAAGCTCAAGCTCAATCGGCAAATGACATTCCTCTCCAAATACCAATTGATATGAAGACATACCAATAGGCGTATTAAAATCTTTATCATATGCCCATAGAGTATCAACTAACTTTCTTGCACAATCTGTCCTATTGACATTCACTGTCTTAGCAAAAATTGCCTTGATCTCTCTATTGGACACCTCTACTTTGCCAGTTGTTTGCGGGTGATAGGGTGTTGCAACTTTGTACAGTTTAATCCCATATTTGGCAGGAAGCGCACTGAATACCTTGTTGCAGAAATGGACCCACAATCATTGATGATAGCTCTAGGTGGGCCAAATCTTGACTATATATATTGTTCTTCAGAAAACCAACAACACTCTTTTCATTATTCTCAAGCAAAGCGACTGCCTCGACCCATTTGGACACATAGTCCACAGCCACAATATGTACTTCTGCCAATAGGAGCTTACAAATGAGACCATGAAATCGACTCCCCACACATTACAAAACTCCACCTCCAGAATTGGTGTCATGGGTAACTCATGGCACCGAGAGATGACTCCTTGTCGCTGGCACACATCACAAATCCTTCCCATGTATATAGGAGCCTCATGAATTATGGGACAGTAGTACCCACACTCAAATATTATGGGATGTACGAGCACCTACATATGGCCACCTACCGGAGAGGAGCATCAAGCTTCTAGAATATGCAACATCTCAGCTTCAGGAATTCATTGCCAGATGATGTGGTCAGCACACACCCTGTACAAATAAGTTTCATCCCAAAAATACTTACCCCGTCATGCAAGAACCAATTCCTTTGTTGTAATGTCAGCCCCTCCTACATTAAATCACTAACAAGAAAGTTAGCAAAATCAGCCTCTAGCCTAGACAGGCGATTAGCCACTTAGTTCTCATAACCTCTCTTATACTTGACTTCAAAATCAAACTCCAAAAAAAGTAACACCCATTTAATCAACCTTAGCTTGAAATTTTCCTTTTCCATGAGGTATCTCAGAGTTACATTATCCGTATGGACTATCACTGTAGTGCACAGAAAGTAAGCTCTTAATTTCTCAAAAGCATACACCATCGCAAGTATTTCCTGCTCAGTAACTGCAAAGTTTTGTTGTGCTCCACTTACTGACTTACTAGTATAGTAAACCTTATTTAACGTCTTTTTGCGCTTCTGCCCCAACACAACTCCTAAATCAATGCCACTAGTATCGCACATTACCTCAAATGGCCCGCCTAATTTGGGCTAGTGATCACTGGTGCACAAATAAGCTTCTCTTTTAGGAATTCAAAAGCTCTTAAATATGCCTTATCAAAATCAAATTTCACATTTGACTCCAATAGTTTGAATATGGGGTGTGCAATTTTGGAGAAGTCCTTGATACAATGCATATAGAATCTGACATATCGTAATAAACTTCGAACACCCTTCACACAGATCAGCGGAGGTAACTTTTCAATCACCTAAATTTTGGCCTTATCGACCTCTATCCCCATACCTTTTGCCCTAGGACTAGTAATCAAAGGTGTCATGTACCACTGACAAATCATCCATGAAGTCCTCCATAGTGACCTTTACCATGTCCGAGAAGCTAGACATCATACACCTTGCGGAAATTGTTGGTACATTACATAGTCCAAATGGCATGCATTTCAATGTAAAGGTTACATGTAAAAGTAGTCTTTTCCTGATCTTTTAGGAGCAATTGAAATTTAGTCGTAGCCAGAATATCAATCTAAGAAGCAGTACAACTTTTTTCCAGCCAACCTACGAAGCATCTGGTCCATGAACGACATCGAGAAGTGATACTTCAAGGTCTACTTGTTCAGCTTCATGTAATCCATGCACACTTGCCATCAGGTGACTGGTCTTTGTGGAACCAACTTGTTCTTTGCATTCGCAACAACAGTCATACCACCCTTTTTCGTCACACATTGCACTGAGCTGACGTAGTGACTATTAGAAATGGGGTACACCACTCCAGCATCTAACCATTTAATGATCTCATTTTTTACCACCTCTTGCATAGGTAGGTTTATCCTCTGCTGGTGTTCAATGATTAGGTTATAGTTCTCTTCAAGTTAAATTTTATGGGTGCATATACCTAGAGGTATCCCCATGATGTCAACAATGGTCCACCCAATTGTCCTTTTGTACCTTATCAACCTTTTGATCACAGCTTGAACATGTTAATCAATAACATCTGCAGCCAAAATCACAGGTAAAGTGTTGTTAGATCCCAATAATACATACTTCAGTTGACTAGGTAACTATTTCAATTCCAGCATATGTGTCTCCTCAATGGATGGCGTGTTGGAGGACTTGGCATTTTTTCAAATCCATGTCCAATTTATTTGGAGCATAAGAGTTTGCTCCCCCTGCAAAGCATTCACGATCTCTACATAGTCAGATCGGAAATCAGCTTCAAAATTCATCAGCATCTAAGGTTTGAATAACCAGTCTCTCTTCAATGGTTTCTCCATTTTCTTTTTCATAAAAAACCTCTATTGCAGACACCACGTTCATGTCATGTGTCTCCTTCATGGACCTGAAAATATTAAACTTCACCTCTTCTTTGTTGAGTATGAATTTTAGTTCTCCTCGCCCAACATCTACCAATGCTTGTCCCATGGCCAAAAATGGTCTACCCAAAATAATGGGAACCTCAACCTCTACTTCGCAATCCAAGATCATGAAATCTACCAAAAAGATGAATGTGTCCACCTTTAGAAGCACATCACATAGGATGACCACATGTCACTTCACTAATCTATCTTCCATCATCAACCTAATGATTATGGGTTTTTGAACTCCTAACCTCAGTTGCTTTTTAGATGCCCAGCAGCATCAAGTTTATATTGTCCCCTAAATCACACAAGGCCTTTGAAAATTTAATTGATTCGATAGTGCATGGTATGGTGAATGCACCCTAATCCTCCTTCATCTGTACCAGAGACCTATTAGCAATAACACTGCAATGATGAACATGGTTAGTCAAATCAATACTTACAACTCTTTTATTTGTAACCAAGTCTTTCATGAACTTGTCATATCATGGTATCTACTCAAGGGCTTCAACTAATGGTATGTTTATGGACAGTTGTCGCGGCATGGTGATAAAATTTTAAAATTTCCCATCTTCAGCTTTCCTTTTAAGCCGTTGTGGGAAATAAGGAGGTGGTCTTAGGATCTGCTGTAAAGGCATGGTTCCCTTAACCTCTTCTTTTCTTTTCTTTTTTTTGCTTTTGCTAGTTTAGCTATTGGTAAGCATCCTCCAAGTCATCTACTTGTTCATCTTCATCCTCCTCTCTTCCATCTTGATCCAACACCTACTTGTGTTTAGTACCTGCAGAAATGGGTTAGTAAGAATCTTACTACTCATATTCATGTAGCCATGAAATGCCCGTCCTTCTTAGGATTTTGGATCATGTAACTTTGTAGTGACCATTCTTTCTATAATTTAATTAGGCTGAAAGTTGCCCCAACTGCTGCTCAATTTGCTTGATAGAGGTGGTGTGAGAGTCTACCAGTTGACTCATACTGTAGAAGTCACCTTTTACCTCATTTAACCCTACATCAATTGATTTAACTTTTTGGAGCATCTTGGCTAACATGTCTTCTAGCTTAGACGCGGTGGAACTACCACTTGCCGGGTCTCTAATACCCGGGGCACATAGACACCACTATGATCATTTTTGTACCCATCTATGTTCTGCAAGTTTCCATGCTCTCTGTTTGTCGTCCTATCATACTGTCCTTCCCTTAAGTAGTTTCGACCTATATTTCCAAACTTGTAACACTCGTTTCCCGAGTTGTAACTCCAGAGACCTCCTTCGTTGCCTTGGTAATTAGTATCTTCATCTAGATCAATATCCTGATATTCATAAATGTTTGGTTGTTCCACGACATTTACCTTCTTAGACTTTGAGACAATATGCTTCGTAAGCATACCTATTTGGGTCTTCATGTGTGCCATGTCCTGATCTCTTTTTTCTTCTCTTTTCCTTTGCTCAGCTGAAAGTACAAATGTGTGCCCAAGATCTCCCACTTTTGCATCCCTGGTGTACCATACCTTGTTGTTCTTTGACAACTCATCCACCAATTGCATGCTCTCTCAGAATGGTTTATACATAAAAGATCCTTCACACACTACATCAGAAATAGGATTAGTAACACAGTTTAAAGATATGTAAAATTCATGTTTTAGATGTCTCTCGGTAAGACTATGGTTTGGAGTTTGGACTCTTTTTTAGCTTTTGGATGAATCTCCAACAGATGTCATGCATCGCTTCTCTTGATAACTACTTATGAGCACTTTTCTTGTTTTTCATTTGCAACTCATTTGATTCCGGAAAGAATCATTTTAGGAAAGCTTGCTTTAGTTTAGTCCAAGTCCTAATTGCATTATTAGGAATCTCATTCAGCTAATTTGTTGCCTTTCTTGTAAAAGACAATGGGAACATCCTCATTCACTCCAGGAATTTATCGTGATTTGCAGATCGATGCACCTATGAACATACCTTTCAAATTCAGCAGTTGAATCATAGTGGTGGGAACTTAACACATGGAGGTAGTGCAGGTAACAATATTGCTCATATGGCTCCAGTTTCATCCAAGTATAAGTCATCCTCTTCATACATCATGTGAGCTGGAGGCTATGGTCTATCCCTTGGAGCTATTGGCTGGCGGTAGGAATGAATAATTTCATCCACTGCCCTAGGTGGGTTGTTCATAGCATTCGACTGAATAACTCTTGCAATAGCTTCATCTTCCAATCCAAATCTTTGTATATGTGCCTCAAGTTCTTGTGTGGTCATACTCTAACTGATTGTTTTCCAGAGTTCTAGATCGTACATGACTAATGGGATCCCTTCATATGGTATTTGTCATACATAGTCGAACTCTCCTATAACAGACACAGACAAAGAAAAAGACATAAAATTAGGACATCCAACTACACTTAGAATAAAAGCTTGTAAAACACTTATGAATTGAAATTACCCTACAGTGGCGTCAAAATTCTATAGATCCAAACATACACCTCAATTAAGAGATACAGACGATCAAAGTCAATTTAGAGAACTCAACGTGATTTGAGGTTGATCCTACAGAGAATATCTTTACAGGATATGATTTCATTGACGCTTTTTACACAAATGTCGTTATTTTTACACAAATGTCGTTATAGATTTGTATTCAAAATGTAGATTAACAATTAACAGAGTTTTCAATTCACAAGTTATGTCGTTGATTAAAAGAAACCACAATTGTGTTCACCATAATGTTACACTTAATGTCCTCCCATGATTGAGTTTCACGCAATTTGTCTCTACAAAATACAGACGAATTAGATAAATCTGATACTTCTTAGTCTAATAAGATTATGTTCACTCAAGTCCTCTTGGTCACAGAGTGTTACTAGTTTTAACCTCGTTTACAATGGCGTTAAAGTTCATTGCTCTCGAAAACAAACTTTGACTCCATTTCTTCAAGTTAATTTAGCTTTTCCCTATCTATTACTTTTCTCTTAAACAAATAATAGATACATGCTCATTCCAATGCGTGCAGTCAACAGAATACGTTGGAATTTTCAAACACAAATCTCCTATCACTTGTTTTAAGGAATTTTAATTTGATTCACGTCATAGATACCACAATCCCAGTTGTGGTGTTTAGCCACACATGATATCACATTAACATTTAGAAATATCAAATGAAAACACATATAATAAGTACTTACGATAATAAGCAAATCAACAAGCCACTTCGATAATCCAAAAACAAGAAATCCCAACGTCGAACTTCATTCAATGTTAAAAGTCAAAAATTAAAATAAAGAATAATTAAAAATTTTCATCATTCAAGGTAAGATATGATAAAAACATAAAAATGACATGATTAAGTTAATTAAAGTGTTTTAGAAAGAGTCCTGCTCAAATTTGGACTAAAATGCATGCAGCTCTACGACCCGTCAAGGGCTTCAAGGTCTGTGAAGCCCGTTGTGGTCTTCAATTGGACTCACCCAAAATAGACTCTTCAAGCTTGCACACTGGATTCCTGTGATGGACAACACCACGACTCATGACAATGACCACAGTCCATATAGGTACCCGTGTTCTTAACATGGCCAATTCACTTTTAAGCTTCTCGAGGTCTACCCACAGGATATACATCATGATCATCACCATGCATCATTATGATGACTAGGCCCGTCTGTG